TGCGGAAAACCAAATCCAATTAGATCTAAACCAAGCTGAATCGCGTGATGTAAAATGCAGAATACGGTTGATTGGATTTGGTTTTCCGCAAACCGATCCAAATCGACTTCAATGATCGCATCACTCAGTTCGTTTTCTGTCCATTCTGTGGTCACGTGATACGGTACAGAACGGAAATTTGGTCTATGGTGAGCTTCATCTGTATACCCGTATGTCTCATCCAAAGAATTTTCCAAATGTGCAAAACCAATTTTAAATCTGGGCAAATCCTTGTCCTGTGATTGACTCCATATAGTACCCACGCTCGATTGGATTGAGAGCCGCGCGCATTCAATAATGTCATCGTTCAGAGTTAGCTCAATCTTTTTCGAGCTGGGTGATGCAACAACTTTCTGCATGTTCTCGTCGACGGACCAGTTTTGAATCTGAATTAGGGAGGATGTAGAAGACCCCCCCCCCAAAAAAAAACTGGATATTCGTGTTCTTTTTTCATTACTAATGCAATATTTTCATAGAAATATCCGGGTGAAATATTAACTAACAGAATAGTCAATAAAACTACGTTGCTTGATAAAAATCTAAACGATTTAGCTGACACTCAATTGGTGCATACCGTAAAAAAGCTGCAAACAAAAATGTTCTTTCGTGAATAAAATTCTTCACCATCTGAAACGACGAGTTATTCACAAAACAGGTAGAGCGAAATAAAGTTGTTCTAAATTATTCACTCTTATCAGACCAAGTATGGTTTATAGGTGGATCGATCGATAGGTGATGGATCAAAGTATGTTCTCCTCTGATGAGTAAGTCTCGAAAGGACACAAAAACCTTGACACAGAAGTAAAAGTGTCGACGAAACATGCCGTTTACATAGAACGGTTGCATGCTGATTTTTATGCCTCGTGGGTGATTACTAACAACCCGATACATAGTTTGAAGCCTTTTGGTAGGATGCATATATGTGCCACTGATGAGGTCTAAGGTGAACGAAACTCGAGTCCATAGTGCTTCCAGAGTGTACGGTTGACTGGATGCTCTGAGAATTGTGCATAAAGAAAAAGTTGAGGGGACAGTCAATCCTAATCAACATCATCTTTTGGACAGTGTAATTAATAAGTAATTGACTCAAATGTGCATTCTTATATTGCATAATGATTTTACCGATTTTATATCATCATCATCATCATCATCAATCTGAAGGAGATTTATTCTGTGTGGGTACAACGGCACTTCCTCCAAATGGCCGATAGTTAAAACCTGACGAATAACGTCTCTTCTTTACTACCTTTAACATTCATTACTTGCATTTTTATCAGACTGTTTTTGCAAAATGTATTCCCATGTATTTTGCTTAATTTTATGTTGTGTAGATTACAATGAATCAATTCAACTGTGACAGCCAAATCAAGTGAAATGACGATACATAGTTGTTCTGAGTTTAGCTCAAAGTTTTTTTTGTTTTAGTTCTTCGGCTTGAATTGAGAAATACAGACGATTACTGGCTCGGAAATGAACAACTACCACACGCCTCAAGTGAGAAGGACCTAAGTATCATCATTCAAGAAAACATAAACTGCTCACTCAACTGCGTCAAAGTGTCGAACGCATCTGTAAGGAATGTCGGTTTGCATAAGCGGATATTTTGCGGACTTGAGTCAGCGATTTTCCCCGTCTACTATTAACATGCATTCGCCCACTCGCACAGTACGCCACCCAGGCATGGAATCCATGGCGACAAGGTGGTTGCAAAATGCTGGAGCGTCAACAAAGGATGGCCACAAAAATGGTCAGAGGGTTGAATCGGTTTTCATACGCAGACAGATTAGAGTCGGTGGGGTTATATTCCAATCACTACCGGCGCATCAGAGGAGATATGATTATGGTATGCCAAATAATGCAAAACCCCAGCCATCCGTGTAGTTCGCTGCTAAAATTATCACCCAACGCTCACCTTGAAGGACATCCGTTCAAACTAATGGTCTCAAAATGGCGATTGAAGTGTCGGCGTCAGTCATTCGTAATCAGAGTGTGTTCGATCTGGAACTCTCTACCACCCCACGTCGTCTGTGCATCAAGCACTGAATCTTTCAAACTGAAACTCGACGAAACATTAGCACACCTTACATTCCAACATGAGTGAAGTTGCGTGCAACAGCGGAAGAAGTACGTATCACGCGACATTTTTGCACAAGGAATTGTATGTATCACTGTCGTTTAACCAAAACAAGAACCTATGGGGCGAGAAAAGCATGAGCCTGTAAGTTATTCCCATAATAAATCTTTGATCTTTGATCTACCGTGAGGGTAATCTCGTTTTGGGGGTAAAAATAGGACGATACAATAGAATTCAGCGTTCAATACGGAAAACATAGATTCACTATTATTTCAATTCTGGTGACACCAATTTTATTTTATCAACTTTACTGGATTAACGTGAGTATTCTACCTGTATAGATAACAGTGACCGGGGCATTGGTTACACATATTGCGGTGCGAGCCGAGACGGGAAGTTCAGTCAGTTCAATTTAGTTTTTACAACCATTAACGGGAAGTGATTAGAGGGCAGGTCAAAGTTGATGAGAATAAGATCTGGTATGCCAATACCCAAACCCTGACTAGAGCTAACTATCCCGTGGGCCGTATCAGACTTCTTGTTTGAGGCATTTGGTAAACAATCTAAACAGTTAATAGGGGCATTATGCGATATGATGAGCACGGTGAACAGTAGCTTTGGTGCAACCACTTTCTTTATACGGCTCTATTTGACTTTTTTAGGTTATCTTTATTTTAGCCTAGTTCTGAGCTCTAAAATCCTCGAGTTAGTTTTTCTCATTGGTCAATCACATAGGTAGCCAAACTTTTGTACGACAGTGCAAGGTCAATGGTTGTGAAAACTGATATCGGATGGGATCATTCCGGTGAAAAATTTCACCAAATATGACTATCTCGGGCATTTTCCTATACTGTACTGGAAATGATAAACAACTTTCGAAAAATTTTCACTCATTCAGAGGGAAATATCCACTTTTTCTAGGTGGACCGTTCAAAAGTCACAGAGTTCTGTGTTAAATTTATCTGGGTATCAGATGCGGCCACTCAATCAAACTTTATGGGGACAAATGTAAGATAGGAACACAAAGCTTCACAACCATTGAGCAGGCACTTTCGTGAAGTGACTGTTGTCTTTCGGCTCCCCCATTTAGATGAAAGATTAGAAAGAAGATTAGCATATTCAAAGTAGCAGTAAAGTAAAAATAGAGAATTCCGTTAGGCTCAGATTGGAACGATTTTGAGGAGATGCAACAGTACCACTGTTCGAGGCACTCAACCATATCACACCGTGTATCAAATCATCGGTGACACTGATCCCGAGGTCCTCATTCAGGGATCCTAATGAGAATTATATATTATCGAGCCTGTTGGTCAGGGTTTCTATATCCTCATTTCGTTCTCCTGATTGAACTTAAATTGATAATTTTCTAAGAGGACAATTGAAAACATGTGAATAATTGCTTCTAAACGAACAGTTTCTGTTCAAAACGACTGATAATTATCTCTGCTAATGACAGTGAATTTTAAAGTTTAATTTGTATTGAAGTATCTGAAGAAAAAAGGTAAAAAATTAACCAAAAACAAATCATTTATACGAATGTCTGCTTCTTGTGTGATAAACGGTGACAACTGAAACTCCAATGATTTTGATTTCACTATAAGAAAATAGCGAATTTCCATCCCCTAAACTTTTAACGATCAATCAGAAAACTTTGAATCGATCGGGCTTGGTGCTAAGCCAAGCAAACCTGATACCATAGATATCGTCAAATGTGGTCTTAGATCTGTTGGGATTGCGGACATCAAACCGTGAGAATCGATTACAAGAACTCGAACCGCCCGAATACCAAAATCAACGATGACACCCTTATTACTGCATAAGGCAAACTTACGGCATTCAGACAGGCTCCGTTGACGATTTGCTCAATCTCTTTGTCCGATTTTGGAAAACCATTTTGTTCTGTCTCCGTCAGTGTTAACAGTATTTGAACTTCCGGATTATCTGTCAGTGTCATGCAATCCGCTGATTCTTTCGGTCGGATATTAGCCAACCTCACCATTCCCGCAGTCCGTATTTGAAAACCTGTTCCGGATTGAGCTGGATGAATCGCCAAACTGGCTAACCAGGACAAGATGGAAAAGAACACGTTTGTTGTTTTTGTTTGTCTCGCTAGCCGAGCGCGATTTACCACTTTTTGATCAGACTCCTGGGTGATACAAGTGGTCGGCTGTCGGAGAACAAAATGAACTTGTCTGCTACCACATTGATTATCCAGATTGCTAGGTGTCAACGGTATGGGAGGTGTAAATGTGGATTCCTGAATACCACCAAAGAGAGGCAAGGGGAAGGATAGATTTGAAATGGTCTGTTTCAAAATGAAATCAACGATACAAAAGAAGGAGAATATAATTTGAAAAAACATCCTTTGATCGCAAATTAAATTGGTCCTGCACTTCTCAGAGTCATATACATCGGCAGATTATATAAAAAATATAAACACTATATTGTCTGAGTTCCAGCATTTGGTTAGTCCCTCGGGAACTTTCGGTGACCAACAATTAAAATCCTGTTCAAATTAGATGTAAATGAAGAAATACTCATGAACCTACAACGAATAAAATATTTTTGTAATCTGCAAATAATTCGGAGAACAAACCAACCACCACAAATAAGACCCGCTCAAGAGAAACAAAACCCGAGTGTCTGTGAACTTAGATGAATTCATAAAGAACACGGTCAAATTGTACA